TCCACAGAGTCAAAACTGCTAGAAAAAAATCCAATAGTATCTATTTACCCCATTAAGTATCCCACGACCTTTGACCAAAAGCAATCAGATTTTGAGTAACCATTCTACAAATGTAATCAATTCCTTCTTTGCAAATTGAGCCCTTGTATACGCTCTAAGGATGATTGCCTCCAAATTGACAAATGAATTGTTTTGTTTTGTGACGTATTTAAATCAAATCTTCTGGGAAAGGCAATTAATATTTTTCCTACACAGGGCAGAGATTATACTTAATGGCTTCGACAGTCCAATAGCATTATGTCAAGGCAAATGCTAGAAAAATCGTGCAAGGTTTGTGAATATTTACCAGAATGTGGGGTTCAACATGCATGGGAGCTCAATTAAAGTGTAGATCTTATCACTCTATTCCTTTTCTCATCTTTACTCTTTTTCTTTCTTTCCATCATTCTCCATTTGGAGAATCATAATCCATACCACTCTTTCGGTCATACATAGTTCTTAAAATATACCCTTACTAGCATTTTTGTGTGTCTTTGTATGCATATTTCATTTAAAAATAACCTAAGAGATTGCTGATCATGAACTTCTAGGAAGAAAGCCATGGATATAGATTCCTTTCTTGACTATAACTGGAAAAATACTGGACGAGGAAACCTACTTTCTAAGAGGCATTCAAAATAGGTCAATCCATTGTGTGCCTCGGATGCAGTGAGGGAGGGACTGAACTGGACATGTCCTCTTTTTTTCAGTGCTTGGGAGCACCACCCCTCAGAAAGACATCCCTGTAGCATTTTCTTTTTAATTAACACATTTTTTTTCTGTGCAGTGTTTGGATGTTTTGATAGCTCTGTGTTATTTTTATAAGCATTTGTCAGAACAGAATATATGTTACCTGAATCTGTTATCAAGAATTATGACTATAATGTATTTTATGGATTCTCTTTTCCCAAGTCTCCATTTTATTTCTCTCATTAAGCTAGATGGTTAGTTCGATTATTGTATTATTTACATGCATCATTACTCGTTTGTCCATTGTATTCCCTAGGAAGTTTCTCAGTTGACAATTTACAGCTGGCAATTATTTCCTTAGTGAAGTTAAGCAGAGAAAGTTGCCTTCAGGAAAAGGGTAGGTTAATTATACCTAAAAGTAACTTTGAAATTTCTCAAGTTATTAATTCCAAAGTTAATTACACATCGTAATTCCAAGGATCTTGAGATACCACGGAAATATCTCCATTTGCCAAAACCATTTTTCACTGTCAAAGGATGGAAAGTGACAGTGAAACTGCATTTTTACCAAATCTGCCACAGTCCATGGCAGGTGCTACAGGTACAGGGAGGCATCTGACATATATTCTGCCTTTGAAGAAATTAAAGTTTAGAAGGATACGTTTGTCTCCACTTATGGAAGGCACAGTTATATCTTTCCCTTCAAATTTAATTGGATGTGTCACATTCACTTGCAACTAACAAATATTTGGAGTCTACCATATGGCAAATAGTTAGGTACTGAGGAGATGAATGAAACAGATATGCCCCATGATTTTAGAAAGCTTTCAGTTTAACTAAGGAGCTGTTTCTACGTCAGTGTTTGATCAATGGATATAAAGGATTGTGGGTAGTCTGAATCAGTACTTAATTTGCATTATATTATGAGCCCCCACTTTATTAAACAAAGACTGTCTCCATTTCCATAACAATTACTTTATACCAAAATTACCTGGTTAGCTAGAACTGAACCAAGAACCCAGTCACTACACTCTCAGATGAGCTTAAGTTCATGTCATAGCAAGTAGTTGACGTCAGAAAACTGCTTGGGATCAACCACTACAAATTACCAAGAACAGGGCAAGGAAAACTTTAAGAACAACAGAAATGTATTTCCCATGAGAAGAGAGGAGAGAGAGAGAGAGAGAGAGAGAGAGAGAGAGAGAGAGAGAGGTCTGATTCATCAGAAACATCTCCAGAGCCCAGGCATAAGAGAATAGTTTCAACAAAAGTTGAACTTTCTTGATCTTGCAGTAAGAAATTACATTTGTCAAGGGATGTGACAGACAGGTTTTTCTCTAGGATCTACGACCTCTCCAGTCATATGTATTTGGCTATGTTTACAGTAACACACATGAGTTTCCTCCCATTGAGTGGGCTTTTTTAAGTCCAGTTAGATAGCTGTTGATTACCCCAAGGATAAAAGTGCCACTACTGCACCTATAGAGATCGTTTGCTGTGCTGGTCATCATTGTGATTATTAGGCTTTAAAGCTAGAATTGGGGCCTGGAGAGATGGCTCAGTGGTTAAGAGCACTGGCTGCTCTTGCAGAAGACTTGGGTTTGATTCCCAGCACCCACATATTAGCTAACAACTGTCTGTAACTCCAGTTCCATTGGATGTGATGCTCTCTTCTGAACTCTATGGGTATTTCACCACACAGGTGCACTTACATACATGCAGGCAATATACTCATATGTGTAAAAAAATAATACAATTAAAAATAAAAGCTGAGGTTGGACCATTGATTGATTTTCTCCCTTAGCAGCTTGCATAGTATCCTCTGAAATTATGAGGGCTAGTCTTTAGGAAGATGGCTTCCAGCTCAGTTCCATTTCCTTTGATCCAAGTCCAGAGTTCAAAGTATGTCTTGTCTTCAGCAATACAGTCTTACCTTCAGGTTCCAGGAGATAATCAAGGGCTATGTCAATAGTCTGTGTTATTTTGGGAGTCTCTTGGACTGTCTTGACCGAAAACTTGAGAGGTTTCTCCTGTCTGGCACTGTGTTTCTTGTTATATAGCCTTCAGCTATACACGTGCACTCATGTTCAGATACTGTATAAGTATTCTTAATGTATTTTGTTGAATTTTATGCATTTCATACAAAACATCTTAATCATCTTTATATTCCCTCTCTTATCCGTACCCTCTTATAGACCCCCCCCCGCCAGATTTCATGCATTCTGTCATATATGTTAAGGCCTATCAAGTTAAGTTAGTGCACTCAGATGTCCCTCAGGGCAAGTTCATCTGTGGTGGTCTACTTAGTCTATGTAGAGTCTCTCCTTTAAAAAGGATCAACTCTCCCTCACACAGCAGTAATCAGCTGCCAATAGTTCTTCGGCTAAAGTTGGGACCTGCTGCCTATTTCCCCAGTTCTATGCTGGGTTTTTCTGTGTGTGTTTGTTTGTCTGATTGAGTTTGCATGTGACATCATTGCTGTAAGTTCATATGAGCAAGTTCTCGGAGGTCTGGAAGACTGTTTTCTTATAGTCATGCACCACCCCCAGCTCTTAGAATTTTTCTGCCCCCTCTTCCCCAATGGTCCCTGAGACCTGTATGTGTATTGTTCAATAGGCTTTTGAACTAATATACTTCCTTCTGGCTCTTCACACCATCTAAGCATTATTTATCTCTCTTCTCTCTCCCTGTCTAACCTTCCCTTCTCCCTCCTCAGTTAAAGCACCCTCATTTCCCCCTTGATAATGCTTGTCTTGTATCCTTATATTTACAGACAAGTACACTGTACACTACTCATCAAAGAAGCTTCTTTTTGCAACAGATGGAAACTGTTAACAAGGTTCCACAACTGGTCACACACAGAGAATAAGTGTCTGAGAGATGTCCAGACCTAAGTGACACATCTACAAAGGAACTTATACCTAAGGTTCACAGAACACAGTGGAATAAGGGGTTGAGAGAATACTAAGGCATCTCTCAACTCTCATCAGCAAACCTTCTTCATGCATCAGTGGGTGATGAACACAGAAAGCTACAACCGGCCAAAGTGTAGAGAATAAGAGACTACAGAATGTGTGTACTTGGATAGACACCCTTTATTAAACCTCACCCACTCAGGGCTCAGGGATCATTGCAGAAGAAGGGGTGAAAGGTTGTAAGATCCAGGAATGGTGAATGCTCACAAGGAAACAGTTTTCTGAGAGGTGATATTGGCATGTGCAAAACCCATGAAAACTCAGACAAAAACCCAGCATAAAACTTGGGAACTGGACAGGATGCCCCAACCTTAGCTGAGGAGCTATTGGTAGCTAATCACCTCTGGATGAGGGAAAGTTGGTCTTCTTTAAGAAAGTGATGCTGGATAGGCTGGAAAGGCTGACCAGGTTCCAGTGGATGAACTCACACTGAGGGACATCTGGGGACCCAAACTTGGCTGAATAGGGGAGGGGGTCTAAATAGGACGAAGATGAAAATGTATTATGTGAAATGCAGAAAACTTAATAAAAATAAATATTAAATTTTTTTTTCTTGGGGTTGGAGAGATAGCTTAGTTTTTAAAGTGCTTACTATATAAACATAGGACCTGAATTCTGGTCCTCAGCACTCATATATAAATCTGGACACAACAACATGCACCTGTAATTCCAGTACTAAGGATGCAAGGACAGGTGAACCCCCAGAGATCACGGGCCAACCAGCCTAGCCAAAGTGATGAGCTCCGGGTTCAGCAAGAGATCCTGTATCAAAAACTGAGCTGGAGAGCAATAGGGAAAGACATCACTTCGCCATTCGCCTCTACATACATGCATATTTGCTTGTACAGGTGCACACACCCACAAGAACATGTACATACAGCACACCCATATGCAGCATCTTTCATTTTTACCTTTTAAGTAACTGTACTCACCATGTCAGTGTCAGACACAGGGCCAAAGCTGGTCACATAGATGTCTGTCTTCACTTCAGTTACGGCATCTGAGCGAGATAAGGTAGGAAAGTGAAGGATCAGGAAAGGCTGTTGCCTGAGCTCAGAGGGTCCAACGCAGTTGGACTCTGAAATGTAGCCAACTTGCTACCTCTGAGGAATAATGTCTAACACTGTCACAGGAACCATGCCCCTCAGAAGAAAAGATTTCTCCCCTGTGCTATTTCTTCACAGAATATATGTTAGCTACAGGTATAATGTCTATTCTTTTAAATAACATTGAAAAATGACAGTGGAATTTCCAACCACCAAAACTTTGAAGGAGCTGTTAAAGACCCCTGACATTCACACCTGCTGGTCTCTCATAATGAGCATAACCTTCCCTGTGGTAGATTACAAATATTGCAAAATCTAACTCTGTGCCACATCTAGGATCAAAGGATGATTGCATTCCCCTGACCACTGACAGGCAGAGATAAGGTAAATAGTTCCAGGTGTGGGAGAATTATCTGCCGTTAGAACAAGGTCAAATATTAGACTCTCTATGTCATGGTAATCATGGAAATACACAGTGGTGTGATGCTGCCACGAGACTGAACAGTCTAGGATGATGAGGTAATGCAAGGAAGACAACTGCACAGCCAGAAAAGTCCATCCATAATAGACCTTGTATGGACGAGAGATAAAATTTGATGGATTAAGTGACTGAGGTTTAGAGATAGATAGCCGATGTCACATGATATACTTTCCAGCTCTTTTCCTTTATTATACTATTTGGTTTGTTGTCTACTTTCCCACCTGAATCAACATCTTCTGATAGGTAGCACACAGAATAGGGGCTTATTACTCACAAGTTGCTCACTAATCATTTTTCATAATTAATGGGTTAATCTCATCACATATTTGCCAAGTTGGAAATGATACATAGTCTGTGCTGCTATAATAAAATACCTTATATTGGGGAATTTATAGAGTGGGAATTTATTGCTCATAGTTCTGGAATTCCAAGATCAAAGTGTCAGTAGATTTGGTACCTGGTAAGAGACTGTTATTCATAAATCGTACCCTCAGTATCTTCACATAACAGAAGGTGCTAAACACCTCTCTAAAGCTTCTTTTACAGAGTCACTTATCCTACTGAAGGCCTAATCAACTCCAAATGTCCTCACATCATAAAACTATTGCACTGGGGATTAAATTTCAATATACAAAATTGCCTCCGTCAGTTCCGTTTATGTTATTCTAACACAACTAGTCCATCTATTATACCTTGTTTCAGACACAGCATAAACCCCGATAGCCTACTGCAGCCCAGTTAAACCCATTTCAATCTACTAAACACCTTATTATTGCAGTAAATCAAACAATCCCCTCTCCCATCCAGCATACCTGACACCAGTTGAACATACTGTAATACAGCTAACATCAATAAATTCCACAGAAGTTTTGATATATAATTTGAACTGATTTTTATGGTCCATGGTACTATTTCTTTACTTCCATGGGTATGTAGGAAATATAATATTCTATGTGTGCCATATTCACTGATCCATGAATTCTGATTCAAATGTATTTTATATCTTTACTTCTCACTTATACGTTGATTTCCACTTTCCAGAGCTATCACTAAGGTTTAATATATTATGCCTCTACAGAGGCACTAATGTGTTCAATATACTCAAGGCCAGTGCACTCAACCAAAATCATTCGATTTTCAGAAGAGTCTATAAGTACCATTTAATAATAATCTACCCTGTAATCAATTCACTGAAAGACAAAATTTACTCCCAAGCTTAATCAACAAATAACATGATGGTGAAACTAGAGCTGTTTTAAACAGTTGGGCTGTCATCTACAGCACAATATTCTCTCAGATGGATTTCTGTCCTTGAATGAGCAGAGAGCATACCATAGAACCAATAATACGATCCCTTAAATAATGTGTCTTGATGGGGCTGGAGAGATGGCTCGGTGGTTAAGAGCACTGGCTGCTCTTGCGGTGGACCTGGGTTCGAGTCCAAGCACCCACATGGCAGCTAACAACCATCCATAGCTCCACTTCCAGGGGATCTGACACCCTCTTCTAACCACTGTGGGCATTGCACAACATGGATGCACTTATACACATTCAGGCAGTACACCCATACACACAAAATAGAAAATAATAATTTTTTAAAATGTGTCCTAAGAGGCTTTTTGGTTGGTGAAGCAAATACACATATATGTATGGTGTAGCATAATGACCTCCAATCTCCCTATATTGAAGTATAGTAAACAAAACAGATTAACAAGATAAAACACAATCACATTTGAATACAACTTGCAGGTAGGCTGGTTCAGAAATGGAATTCATTTCTACATCCATGCAGTTGTACAATTGTAAGAAAGTCACGCAGATTCCTAATAGAGGAGTCAACACACACACACACACACACACACACACACACACGAGATACTGAGGAAAAACTCTAAAACTAGTGAGCATATCAGGCCTGGAAATTTAATATGAAGTCAACAAGGAAGTCCTCCCATCAACATTCCTTCCTCCTTTTGCTCCCAAGGCCAGCCCAGTTCCTCATAACAGAGTGGAAAAGTTAATTGGCAGGAGGGTTCTCTGAGGAAATACGGAATCACTGTGGCTCTGACAGAGTCTGAGCTAGACTGAAAGACTTGGGTTCTGTTTGCGATAAAAGAAAACAAAACTATAGATAGAGCTAGAAAATGAGAGAGAGCGAAAGCAAGATTGAGAGAGAGAGTGGGAAAGCAAGAAAAATAATACTGTTGGGATCAACAGAAAGGTTCTGCTCATTCTAGCAGAGAAACCAGAACTCTCTTTCAGTGGGGTGTGTGGACAGGTTATTTACTTGTATCCTGGTAACACAAGTAAGTGTGTTGTGAATTTATGTCACCACCCTGAGGCCTCTAGTGCTATAGACCAAGCACAGGTAAACACAGGCATATTTACTTTCTTCAGTATTCTACACAGAGACCCCAATCTCCAATAGCTAGTCCCATCTTCTGGCTAAGAAATCTAGAAGCACTGAAGCATGGTACCTGAGAGCACACTGAACCTGTAGAAGTGTGACACAGTGGTTCAAAATGCGACTAACTGGGTTTGAATTAGGTTGTACCAGTGTTCTTTGTGTGCGACACAGTAGGCCAAAACGTGACTGCATACAAACGCAGCATCTACCGTGCTCTTTGTGTGCTCTTGGTTATTTAACTTCTGTGCACCTGGTCTGTCATCTGGAAAATTGGGATAATGATAGCATCTACGTCAGCATGGTTCAGAGGATTTAAGGAGATTGTTTGCAGACCAGTAGTTGATCAATTCAGTGTTCAATGTGCATCCTTTGTTGCTGCTGTTTACCACAGGAGCTACTCAGAGGACCAAGTGGGCAGAAATCATACAAAAGTCTAAGGTCCAAGACCCCAGTCTCAGTAGACAGCACCTACCTGGCACTCCAGCCCCTGTGTGTGAAGGAACAATGGCAAGGTTTTACAGTTTAACTTAATGAAGGCAAAGTACAGTTAATTAGACTAAAATTGGTGATGACTGTAATCCACAGAAGCTAGTCACTTTTGGCAGCTTTCTCAGAACAGAATTTCCTTCCAGTGCAACCCTCTGAAACAAAAGGTCATCAATTTTCTTTTGAAAATTTTCTGCAGTACTAGAATGATTCAATGACCTGAAGTGACCCAGACATATACACATTGTGTTCATACATGCATAAGCACACATAATCTTTAACTCTCACTGCGACGCTGATTGGTGGCATATACATGGACCAGACCCTGCATTCTTTCTGCTTATTATTTATCAGAAAGAATAAACAGTAGCCAATTAGTAAGTGGCCTCTGTGTTTATAAGGAATATATTGTTCATAATAAATTTTATTTTCTAGTTTAACTTCAAATACATGCCTAAGAAACCTTTCATTTTCTCCATGAAAGCAATGGGTTAGGGAATAAACTAGTTTCTATAGGCTTCCCAGTTCTACTGTGCCACCCTAGCACACATACACATTACTCCTGACTCTGTTCTTTAGACCCACAAAACAAAATGTCCAGTTACTTTTGAGATATAAAGATCTACAGAGATCTAAAGAATGTGAGCATTAAAAAACAAAAACAAAAAATCCAGGCTTAGTGACCCACACCTTTATTCCCAGCACTGAGGAGGCAGAGGCAGGCAGATCTCTATAAGATAGAGGCCACCTGAGGCTAGGGAAACCCTGTCAAAAGAAATAGAATGTGAGCATTGTACTCCTAAATCTGTTTTTGTTCTTTCCCATAGAACGTCCCAACTTCCTTACATTCTCCATTTTTGACACGGTTTTGAACCCCCTCTCTTTCTTCCATTTACGTTCTTATGGCTCAGGTCTGGAGGTTATTAATACTCTGAAATAAATTTGTGGTATGTCTGTCACAACTTCTTTATACGTGTGATGATGAAATGAAGGATATGAATAAAAGCTAATGACTCTTCTTTTTGTGTCTGTTTAAAGCCCAGTATTGGGAATGGACTTCTCTTTTTTGGAGTTGTTGACCAAGTGGTCCCATAGAGCCCCAAATAATGTAGGCTATTTGCATTGCACTTGGTTGCACAACAGAACTTGATGACAAGACCCCATTGCTGAAGACACTATGTACATAAGTCATGGAACAATCTAGGAGAAATCAAGGTGGGACTGACCTAAAGTTTCATCTCTACTGGCTAGCTTTTATAGTGCTGGAAGTTTCTATGTTACCAGAAGAGAAAATCAATCACATTCCACCTTGCTCAACTGTGAATCTTGCAAGCTACAATAACAACTGGCATGGCAAGATATGCACACTGGTTCAATAGTGGCATGAATGGTATGGGAGTAACCAACCAATTTCTGTTTGGATTTAAGAACTGCTTCACAAGATGAAGCCCATACTTGTTAGTTACCAGGGCAAAGAACCTGTGGCTACACAGAGCACGGGGAAGAATATTCTAATATTGTTTTGCTGAATGGACATAGTATTAAACTTACTTCTAATGACTTTTTCCTATACCAATAGA